AGTTTTAAATTTTGTAAATTACAAAGTTGTATATACTCAAACCAATATTCAATAAACAAGGTGTAAGCTACCCATTATAAAAAAAAAAAAATATCTATTTTATTATAAAAAAACAAACTATATATATATATAATTTGACTATTTATTAACTATTTTATTATAAAAAAATAGATTTATTAATTATTAGTATATAATATTACTTATTTAAAATCTTTTAAATATAATTATAAAAAAAAATTTTTTTATTTTAATTTAAAAATTATTTATTAGTATTATATTTAAGATTATTATCTCAATATACTTGTACTGTAATTTAAAATAAAAAATTCAAATTTTGAATTTTATCAAAAAGAAGAAAAAAAGTTTATATTGGTAAAAAATAAAATATATTTTAAATTAAACTCTTATATATTTGAAATAAAATAATTTTATTATTTTTTTTTTTAATTAAAAAAACTATTTACTTTTTATTATTTTATTATTATTAAAACATATTTAAAAAATATTTGTAACAAGACATTACTATTATTAAAATAAATTTATATTATTGTGAAAATATATTTTTAAAACAATTCAAAACAAAAAAAAACTTATTATTGAATTGTAATAAAATTTTTTTTTTAATTATTAATATTATGTTTTTTTATTATAATTAATTTATTGTTAAATTTATTACTTACAAAATGAAACACAAAGAAATTATGTTGTTTTTATTTTTTGATGCATATTAATCAACTAGTTCAAATTTCCAATTAAAAATTTTATTTAAAATTGAGATAAATAAAATTTAATCAAAAAAAAAAAATCAAAAAAGTTTTATATTTGAGAAATATAGGAAAAGTTTGAAGTAGATAATATAGTTTTTTAAAATTATGTAATTATTTTTTTTAAAGTTTTGAATCTTTAAAGAAAATAAAAAAGAATATTTTTTTCCAATATACTGTATATATATATTATCAGAATATTCTTGTCTTTGATTTTATAAATAATTTTCTTGTATTCACTTGTAAAAATACAAAAGATTTATTTTTTTTTTAAAAAAAAAAAAGCAAATAAGAATGATTAAAATCTTTGGAGAATGATGATGTTAAAGAAAGTGAACGGACTTTGTTACAAGATATTAAACATTTTTTGAAACATTGTTTTTTGAATTAACAAAAAGAATTAGCATTAATAAAAATTACTTGTAATAAACTTGTTCCTAAGAATATAACTGATATTAAATTATAAGTAAATAAATAAATACAGTATATACGGTAAATGTTCTTTTTTTATATATTTTCATTGTATTTAAATATTTAAAGGTGATTTACATTGTATACGCTGTATATACTGTAAATACAGTACGTATATGAAAAATTAACTTACAGTATGTAGCTTAACATTACCGAAGATTTTCGGCATCAGTTTACAAAACACCTCAACAATATCCACGGCATGTTATTGTTTTTAAATTCTAAATTTGACAAAAGATTAGATAATAAAGTATACAGCGCACTGCATATAAATTCAGACCGTGCTCCGGAATATGAATTACGGGATTACGTCAATCTATTAACGTACTGGGTTTTAGTTTCTCCGGAGAAATGTCAAAGCCATTGTTTTTTTTTTCGGACGGGAAAATAAAACGGTAGCTTGGATTTGCAACAAGTCCTATTTTGGATTTCGTATTACAAGAATTCAATCACGCATCACAGTTGCAAGGGAATCTATAACTAGCAACACCAATACCCGTTTTTATGGCTCAAGGAAGAAATTTTAACGCATAATATTGTTATATTTGTTAACAGTCGTTAGTTGGATTTAAGATTTATTAAATCACATTATTTCTGATGCGTGTTTGATAGGTAAAAAATATAATGCACGACGATTTCAATTAAAGCATGTTTTTTAATCTAAACAAAGAACATTTCATTTTTTATAGCGTCTCGGATCACCAGTGGTTTTCCGTTCTTAACTTTCGTCGGCCTCTCGGGGGGAGCGTCGTTACCACCGCCACCGCCACCCCGACCGCGACCTCTACCGCGACCACGACCTCCACGCATGCCGCGGCCACCACGACCACCACGACCGCCACGGCCACCACGCCCGCCTCCGATACTTGGATCTGGGTATTCTTCGTACTGGACAAAGTGTTTCGCATGGTTTGCGATATGGTGCGCGTAATGAACCGGAGTAACATGACATATTGAGAGGTTGCACCTACGAAATGATGAATTGATCAGTGTGAGACAATAGTACTTGTGGAAAAAACGAGAGTCACGCAATTACCTCACGGATAAAAAGCATAGTTTATAAGTGAGATTGTACATCTCGTTGGCCTTAAAATTGCCCCCATTACGGATAACATGATAATATGTAGAGCGAGCTGTACCCAAAGGGCTCGCGTGACTTTGCAAAACTATTTATCATGGAAATGAGGTTATGATCTTTTCAACAATTTTTTCAAATAAAATGAAATGAAATGAAAAAAAGGAAACTCACAGAAGGTAAAATATTGTGGCACAACAATTCCGGTGTCGATCACCGTGCCGGGTTTACAATTCTTTCCTTGAGGGTCAGCTTCACTCTCGTTAACAGGAACAAATCTTTGAGGTTGAAAAAAAATATAAACCTTCCTAAAAACATGGCATTTTTTTAAAAATCGTCTTGCAACTGTGGGCTATTACCTGGCATGATGACGCTTCTGCACAATGACAAAGGTAAATTTTGGAGGGTCTCGTGATCCGTAAATTTTTTTCAACTCGTTTTCTATGGGCATCACTTCCTCTCTCATGATCTTTTCAAACTGACCTTCGGCAATACCGTCCCGGTAGAATACAATTTGATCAGGAAGGTCATTGTTATTTATCTTGTACTGTTCCATTAGCTCCGAAACCATCCTGCAAATGTCTTCGATGCTCTCATTATTTAATTCCTGGTTCATACAGTAACGGGACACATATTTAGTGGCCTCGGGATTCATCGAGGCACACAATGCGGCAACACTTGGACGACCTTTCTTTTTATCCTCGGGGTCGGGATGGAAGACATCGGCACCAAAAAACATAAACTGAAAAAAAACGAAGGTATGGCTAAATGAGTACGTAAATTCAATCGCACGACCTTATTAAGTAAAAAGCTTGCCTTCTCCTTTGAATCCCGTTCAAAGAAGCTCATCTCACGTCTCGCCAACGTGGAATTCGTCCCACCCAGTTTGCCATTAATCTTGAGGGCAAGGTTGGCACAGATTTGTCTCCACTTTCCTTGCTTTCCTTTCATATGCGAACCGACGATACATTGAGATATTACACCCAATTCGATGGCACAACATTTTTTGATTTCTTGATATATTCCATTCTTGGAGGATAATTTATGAGGAACGATGCATATCATCAATCGAGGTAATTTCGGATTAGATTTGTTAATATTATTGACGCCGACCAAGAGGGACTGTCGAAACACGACAATTATTCAGATTTGATATTAAAATAACAACACAAATGACTTTTTTTTTTAAAAAAAATAAATTATTATAATTATTATAATACATACTTGACTAATGCTGCCTTGTCGATTTGCAAATGAAATCTTTGGACGGCTAGGTACATCCTGTGAATAATTAAATTATTCCAAACGAGAATGTTTTCAATCACACACTTCATTGAACTTTGCAAGACGCGAAACAACTTACGATTCCTTTTTGCGTCAATGCTTCAATCAATAATTTTAGAGCATTTATTATCTCTTGTTCTCTTAGAATTCTGGAATCTTCAAATGATACGACAGACCAATTCGCGAGTACAGATCCCTGAAGTGAAGACAAAAGAGTACTTAATAGCGGCTTTGTATGTAGAAAGGGTAGCAAACTCCGTATAAAAAAATTTCTTTTAAACCTCGAAAAAATAGCAACCTACCTTGACGAATTTTTTGACCTCCCAATTACCACCATCCGGAGTAATTTCTTTGCTTTCATAGGTAATCAATTGCGGTGCCTTCAACAAGCGCGCTGGAAAAAAAAAATAATGATTTAATAAACGATCGGAAATATTGTTGTGAAAAGGTGCAAGAGTAATTACATTTCAGCTCGATAAATCGATTGTTCACTTCCATTCCAATGGATTTTATGATTTCATCATTTTGGTATTTGTATATATCATTGATTGCGTATTGAATTCGTTCGAAACGATCTTTTGGTTTGATTGCCGTTTTTTCAATCATATCCTTTCGTTGTAACTCGGAAAGATTGTCGGTACGATATTTCTGATCTAGGAAACCTTAAGATATCAGCAACAGCATATCCGATGAAGTGAAATGAAGTAAATCATTATAACAAAGGACACACCGGAAATAATTGAACATATCTCTATCGGTAAGTATTCTTCGAACCTAGATTTTTTTACGACCACGCAGGGAAGCTTGGGATACTGTAAGTTCTGTCCTATATTGCTATAATATTGACTGACGGTTATCTGGGAATTTCTAGATTTCCGGAGTCTTTCAGCAGGTTCGTAAGAAACCTTGAGAACCTTGAACTTCTCCTTTTCATTATTAACGCGAATGGTGGTGGTTACATAATGATCCTTTAAGAATCTCGTCAGCACATCGACATCTTGATTCGAAAGACCTCTCATCAACTCCTCTTTCGTTCTAAGTTCTTTTCCGGTCTCGTAAAGAATTTTAGGTACTCTGTGAATCAGAGGTCCCGAAGGGTAATATACAGTTGCACAAACGTCTACGTTGACTAACAACTTTTCTAAAATTTACAAATGGCGACAGTCACTCCGAGATCACAAAAGCAGCATGTTTACAATTTGAAATAAAGAGACTCACCCCATCCAGGACGGATGGATTGGTAAAATCCACGCATTAATTCGACTCCGCCGTATAAGAAGATTCTATTCTCTTCCGATGGTTCTGGGAAGATCGCCTTTTTTCCCAGAGAGAGGTATCGCGTACGAACTTTCGTGGTTAGAAAGGCATTGAGAACAGTAAAGATATTCTGGATTTTATCATCCCAGAGTTGACTGGTTCCGGCTTTTACATAATCGGCCATTGGTCTGAGCGAAATGTCGGCGGAAAATTTTATAACCACCTTATAGGTTTTTGGGCTACCCGCGTCATCTATTGGTCTCACTGTGACCTAAAGATAAATTATTAAAATGTAGTAGAGCAAAAGTCATCGGGATATACATCGTACACAAAAGATAATTACCGTGAGATCTTTGACCTTTCTGCCGTCCGTGACATCATTTATAGAATATAAAAGCTGCCCGTCGTAGGCGACCGCACGCTGGCCAAATCTTTTATTCTTTATTAACTGTATGACGACGGCATCGGAATCTTTTTTGGATACCTTTCCGGCTCTCTGAACCGTAATTTCCAAGGTGTATGATTTGACTGTTGGATAATTAAACTATATGATAATTGATAATGATAAAGTGAATGGAGACATGTGTATTAATTTTTACAGTAATTTTACAGTAATATAAGGCACATGGAAAAATTTTCAAAAAAAGAAATTTGCGTCAGGCGGGGTTTATTTTTTCTTTATTAAGTTACCTTTTTTACTTCCAGAAAATTTGCTCGTACATCGACCACCTTGGAATTTTCATCCGTTCCGTCTGGAGGTGGTCGTTTTGCTATCAGTTTTGCTATATCTGACATATTCGGAACGGTGAGAATATGGTAAGATGACTGCGCGACAAAGAACAAAATGGAAAAAAAAATAAGGCACACCTACAACTCACAATATTTGTAACTGTTAGGTAATTAGTGGTTGACTTTGTTTCTTAAATAAGGCATGATGAGTAATTGATTAAGGGAATTGATTTTGTGCTCCCTTAAGGGAGCTTCAGCTAAAAATAATTGAAATCATGCATTCTACGTACGTATGCAGATGGTTGCGTGTCACGTTTTCAGTTGAAAAACTCCGGGATCGCATGCCACATCCAAAAAGATGAACAAAACCGCTCGGGAAAATGTGAATTGACCATTGTGCAATCGTTTAAAGGAAATAATCTTCAAATAATCTCGCAACAGAACACATTAGAATATTGATCACGTGTTGGATAAGAGAAAAGTATTAGAATTCGCGGTTTTTCCGAGACAATTCTGCGCCGCCTAATATTTTATAAGAAAGTAATATGTTTACGATAATCTTGTCTAAAAAAAAGAACTATAGAAAAATGTCAAATGTCATCATTGAAAGATGCAATAGTAAATGTGTGCACAATGAATTGTTTCCCGACAGGGATTACGTGCAGAGATTACAGGGTATTTAAAGACACCATCAATTCTTCTAAATATTTGCATTCAAAAAGATGAGTGAAATGAAATCTCATGAAGGGGCATCCTACGAGTTCGTGGATTTTAAGAATCCTATTTTAGACGAGGTGGAGTTCGAATCTTTTATAAAAAATCCACCCTATAAACTAAATCTTACGATAGACGAATTAATTGGGACGTCGAGTAAATCCCGAGTGTATAAAAAATTCCTATCGGGGGGTCGAAGTAAACCACCGAGACCCCCAAATTCATTCGTTATATTTCGAAAAAATTTCGTGGCAGGCGTCAACTCGCGAACAAAGGCGCCAAAAATGTCAAAAATAGTGGCGGAAGCTTGGGAGTCTCAACCTCCAGCCGTTAGAAAATTTTTTAATATGCTGGCCGAGAGAGCGAAGGTCATGCATAATGAAAAATTTCCAAATTATAAATATACACCTCGGAGATCAAAAAAAATCAAAGAAAAAAATGCTCCCGCCGGTGAGAGCAAGGATATCTGCGATGACTATTTGAATTACGAATATTGCGATGAGGAAACAATGTCACAATATAACGATCCCGTTGCCGGGGTTCCCGTTGTCGGGAATGATATTGATGAAGATCCCGTTGCCGGGAACGATAATTATGAATTTCCGACCTTCGGAAATTATTCCGTTCCGATCAGCGAAAATTGGTTGGATCTATCATCTTTCGATTTCGATAGTTTTTCAAATAATTTTTTCTAGACCCTTACAATTTTATGTTTATATATATGCCTATGCTATTTATGTCTATGATGTACGATTACTTTATGTACGATTACACCTACGCCCACTGTATGCCCCCATTATGCTTTAAGTTATGCCTTTTCTTTTTATGCTGTATGCTATATGCTTTTCCTCTTTATTCGTAAACAATTGCATCCCCACCATCCACTAAGATCCCTCCCCTCCCCTCCCCTCCCCTCCCATTATATGTAAATTTTTAAGAACAATAAAAAAACATTTTACAAGAATGCTTGAATATGTTATGTCGGACATTGAAAAAAATTGATCACGGATCTCATATATAGAGGAACATACAATAATAGATCATCAACTCGAGATTAAACACGTCGTGTGATAACGATATTCATATTATATTATACAATATAACCTCGGTTTTTATTATTTACACATTAATTCTTTTTATCTATCTATACAGTATATGAATAATCATTAACGGTTCAAAAATTAACGAGAATAAAATAAAATGTAACTATTTATCATGGACAATGGAGTGCGCGCGCGCGAGGCGAACTGACCACTCGGAGCATGCAGCATGAATACACGTGACAATGATCGACAATGTGACGTCATCTATTTCCAAGGGCGAAAGCTCTCTTGGACCATATTCGGAATAAATAAGTTTGCCTGTGTTATCAATTCTTCCGAGAAATTTGCCGCTAACCTTTGCCTCGGATAATTTCTGGTAAATCTAAACGTGTTCAAGGTCCCGTGAAGCTGGGCGTATTTTATGGCAATCGCGAGAAATTTGTCGTCGTCTCTTGGATGTCTCAAATAGACTCCAAGAGTTTCTAGATATTTACATTTTGACAATATATACTCCAATGCCTCGGTCGATATGCTGATCAAAAGATCCAAATGTCGTAGTGCAAACGGAAGATTCTTTCCGATCTCCTTGATGATTATGTTATGAAATTGATTGGGTACCTGGTTGTGTAATACCAAATGTTCGATTCGAGAGTCGAACAGTGGCTGAAGGTGAAGTGTGGATTCTTGATCTATGCAAATGGCCAGGTGAGAAATGTCCCGACAAAATTTTTTGATCAACATGAGCGTCTCGTTCTTCATCTGATTGAGCGATATTTTTTTCAACGAGTTCCGTGACATCCTTAATAAGAAGGACAGAAATATTGGATTGATCGCGACTCCTTTCAAATATAATTCTTTGATGCTAAGGATGTGCGTTGGCTCCAGTTGAGTGGTGTCATAATACTTTGTGTTCTCGTGATAGTTGACGATCTTTAGTTTCTCCAGGCGAGTGCACAGTGTCAACGGGATTAACACCGAGATACTGTGAAATTCCATTCCACCGCCCAATTCCAACTCCCTCAGATGATTGGACTGATAGACAAGCGATGGGATGATACTTTCGACGTCCTTGGCGAAACAACCCAACGCTCGAAGATTCTTTTGCGACTTGACCAATTTCAAGAAATCCTCTTGTATCTTTGGTACGTCACTAGGAATGTCTATCGATAGGTGTTGAATCAGTCGACAATTTTTTGTTATTATTCCCATCAGACTCACCATCTTCTCCATCTCACATCTCTCTTTGAATTCACCACACAGTTGAAAAGTTCGAAGTCCGGAGATGGCCCTCTCAAGACCATCGAAACATGTGAGATCGGGTATCTCAAATTTTTCGGGTCCCCTGAAAACCCTCAAATAATTTAATCCTCGGGATTGACAAATGATCATATCCGTGAGTTCGCTTGCCACCAGATACACCATATTATTAAAAAGTGGATGTGATCTTTGTTCGTTTAACTCCAACCACCTTCCAATTGCTGGATTCAACCATCGAAAATCCAATTTCTTCAAAAAACTCGCATACTGAAAAAATGGTTTCGCAACCTTGGGAAACTTGAGTCCGTTTTCTATAAGAAAATTTTGTCGATCATCGCTGAGACATGACACATACGTTTGG